GGCCCGGCCCGGCCCCTCGCGGGGCAGAGCTCCCGCTCCGCGCCAGCTTTGGAAACCGTTCGGCGTCCTCCAGGGCTCCCACATCTCACATCTGGAGTTCTTCTTTCGCGCTTCTGGCAAGAGCTGCGTGGTTTCGTGTTTTGCTGGGTAGTTTGTTTTTTTTTTTAATATTTCTTTCTTTTTTTTTTTTTCTTTTCAGCCAACGTCCTTCCTCTGGAGCTCCCACTCGGGGGGTGCCCTGTCTGGCATGTCCTGGGGCACTCTCCTCCTTGTGCTCCCTGCATCGTCCTCTTCTCTGTCTCATCTCTGTCTCACCTGTTAACATCTGAAGGCTCAGGGCTCCTTGCTGCCTGTTTTCCTTGGGTTGCTCTTCATAGAATCACAGAATTGCCTAGATGGGAAAAGTCCTTTAAGATCACTGAGTCCAACCATTAACCTAACACAGACAAGTGCTTGAGTAAACCATATCCCTAAGCACAATATCTACTTGACTCTTAAATACATCCAGTGATGGGGGCTCCACCACTGCCCTGGGCAACCCTCCTTTCAGGTAGTTGTAGAGAGTGATAAGGTTTCCCCTCAGCCTCCTCTTCTCAAGGCTGAACAACCTCAGTTCTCTCAGGTGCTCCTCATAAAACTTGTGCTGTAGACACTTCACCAACTTTGTTGCCCTTCTTTGGACACACTCTAGTACCTCAATGTCCTTCTTCTAGTGAGAGGCCCAGAACTGAACACAGTACTTGGGATGCAGGCTCCTGCTGTGATTTCCCCTGAGCCTCCAGAAGCTGTGACCTGCCACCCTCCTCCCTCGGTGCTGCTTGTTCAGAAGAGTGGCGTAGAGGTGCCCTTACCTCCTCTCCTGCACTGAGTCCAGCCTGGTGGCGTCTGGATGACCAGGCACTGAGTTCTTTGTGGAGCTCCATATTCCAGGCATCTGTTTGAGCTGGTTCCATAATGACTGTGTGCTCAACTTCCATTTTTAGGTCTTGGGCAAATTTCTTGGGTCCTTCATCAATCTGAGAAGCCAGAAGCTTGCAAGTCTTGATTCTGCTTCCTGGATGTCTGCAGTGGCAGCTCTCTGAGAACCTCATGAAGATGACTGACAGAGAGTGCCCCTGCTTTCTGTGCCCTGCACACCTTCTTCTAGACTGTCCTAGGGATTTGTCTGAATGTGACTTGAGTTCCCTGTGCTAATCTCTGTCACAGCAGCTCTGTCACCTAACGACAAGACTCCAAACACTGCCTGTGGGCCTCATTCCTGCGTCTGATCCCCTGGGCCTGCCCTTTGTCCCCTAGACCTTGCTGTCACTGCACACAGGGCCATCCCTTGCCCAAACGTGTTTGCGGGTAGGGTGGTCGCACAGGCTGCCACATCCCCTTCCACTCTCCAAGGTGCTGTCCTGGTCCCTCGCTGGAAGGTCAGAGACCCTGGTCCCAGGCCAGCGGTTCCTCCACATAGGTCCACATTGTCCTTGGTTTGGGTTTTAGGAGACCTCCATCTTTTTTAGAGAATAAACTTGTTTTGACCTAGCCTGGACTCCCTTACAGTAGTTTGAAAAGAGTTGAAGACAGTGTACTGACTGTCTAATTTCAAACTTCTCTGCCTCTCAGTCTTCTCCTCCTTTAGGACCTCCTTGATGTGTTTTATGCCATTTTACCTTGAGTGTGGGTGGTGTACAACTGTTGCATTCGGTTCTGTAGACAAGGAAATCCATCATCCCTGAGCTCCAGGTGACACCAGTGACTGTAGTAATAGTCTTTCTAGTGTGGGAGAGTGATAAGGTTGTGTTTCCCAGTCTTCAGTTTTCCAAATATCTCTCACAACAGGGGTTCTGGATTGTGTAATTCGTTAGTTGGGCAGAGTTTGGGGAGGCCCAAATCTTACTCAGAGTCTATTTAAGAGGTTGTGCACCAAAAGCATGTGGTTGGACGGAGGGTGTGTGCTCATTATCTGCAGAGGGACATTATTCCTTCCTCTTGCTCCATCTCATCTGCCTGCATTAAAGCCCTTGTGCTGGATGTGGAAATATTGAGCCATATTTTCATGCTAGAGGGATGCTGCCATGTCTCCTGAGCATGCTAGCTGTAGGTAGAGGAAAGAACCTGTGTCCCTAACAGACCAGTTGCTTTAATGACATTACTGTTCTAAGCAGTCTTTTTTTAGACAGGCGTTAGAGAAGTTATGTTAGTCCCAAACTCTGCAGTAAAGAGACAGCGTGAGCACAGCCTGGGCAAGATAAGTGTAGTGACTCTAGGGTGAGGCTCAGAGATGGGAAGATAATGTGGCTTCCAGTCCTCCACCCCACCTTTGGAGGGGGCTCCCTGGTAGCCCAAGACATAGCAGAGCTTTGAACCTAAGTTTGCTGAACTTATGGTTTGACACTTATGGGTTGAAAGACAGGAGCATGACAATTGGAAACAACTTTGGTGTTCCTTGATGTGCCAACAATGTAACAATAAGTGAGCTGGAGAGTGTATGTGGAGCAAGAGGTTGACTGTCTTCCCGCAATAAGCTCCTTCAGAAACTTCTAGCTAGATGGGAATTAAACCAAGCAAAGCGCAACCTTGTGATGCAAAGGGTGACCTCATGCAATGTGGTGGAAGAACTCCAACTTCTGTCCTTCTTTATCAGTGCTGGCCGCCTAAGGTTTTGTGAAAATTAGACACAGCATATGGTGCCTGTGGAACTGAACATGTTACAGAGTTTGTTAAACTCGGAAAGGGACCTTGCGAGGACTAATTTCCCCAGTCCACTCCTCCCTCTTTCCATTTTCTCAACAGGTGAGTAGTTCTAGGAGAGCGAGCATAATATTCTTATTTAACAATGTGATTTATAAAATGCTCATATGAAGAGAAGACAAATGTTAAATAATCCTGCCTCCTGAATTGAATATCAGGAGTTAGACAGGTACAGAGACCGGTTCAAAGAGTCATAAGCCGTCTTGAATTAACTATAGTTGTGATAGCTGCAGGTGAGAACGAGCTTTCTCCATCACCTCTTTGACAGGCAGGGGTAAATGGAAGCCAGGGGTCACCAGTATGGGATTTAGTCTTTTCTTATTATTTAGTGTCAAAGTTGTGAGTAACAGGTTTGTAATATAAATGTTGGGAGACTTCTGCACTTTCCTGCAAGGGAGGGATCACCACTCTAAGAGACCAATTGCTAGGCAGGTGAAAGATGGAAGGGGTATTAGGTTGTGTGAACGTATTGAAGTAAATGACTTGAGCTTTCCATGTCAAAAAGGAGACTTGAGTGGAGGAGATTCATCGGATAGGTGGTTCTAAGAGGTTTGGACCCTTTTTTGGGGGTTGCTCATGCTGAATGATGGTTGTGTGGCTGTCATATTGGCTGGTGCTGATCCAAGCGTCTGGTGAAAATGAAAGCTGAGGTTTGGCCATCTCCCTTTTTTCTTTCCCTTTTGCTGTAGACATTGTTCGCAGCGACATTGCCCTGGATAAGCAGAAAGGCTGTAAGATCGCCCAGCATCCTGACATAATGTTGGAGCTACAGAGGGAAAAGGCAGCTCAGATGCACTTGGTTTTGTTAAAGGAGCAGTTTTCAAACACATACAGCAACCTCACGTTAACAGGTAAGGCTGCGAGACCAGCTCTGGAGCCAGGTTCTGGGGCTGGTTCTTGCTAACTTACAGGTGTGTTAAAACCTTTGGCTGCTTCACCTCTGTATGAATCAGCATCTCTCTGGCTGCCTCTGTTTCCTATCAAGTTTACTGGGTGCTGGGAGGGAAAGAACCTTCAGGAACTTGTGGTGGACTCATAAGGCCTCTGCAGCTGGCACCTACACAGACACTCCAGATTTGGTGCCCCTGGACAGAATGTTTTCTGCGGTCTGACCTAAGCAGAATACCACGGCATGTGAAGTGCTGGAGAAATCTCCCTGCTAACTGTTCATGTCGATGGGGCTGCGGCAATTACTAAATTTGGAGTCCTTTAAGCTGCAGCTGATTTTTTTTTCTTTCCAGAGCATGCACTTTGTGTGAACCCAGTAAATATTAAAGAGCAAAATATAAAGGGATAATGGCCCAGACAGAGATGAGAGGATACTCTTTTTCTGGCAACTGTTTGTATTATCCAGGGAACAGAATCTCAAAGGATGGAGGAGACTGCCACATTTTGGATACACATTTAATGGTGCTTGTAAAGGACTGATGTCTTCAGGCAGTGAGTGGGCAGAAGGATGGGATCCCAGCAGCCAGCAGTGTCCTTTCATAGCTGTTCTCCTTATCACTACAGCTGGATGAGCCACAGACGAAGGCAAGGAGGAAGAGACTAATAAATCAAACAAGATCCCCTTGTCCTCTTGCTGTGTTCCTTTCCTATGAGAGGCAGGGAGGCATCTGATTTGTATGGGAGAGAGGTCCCCGTGCTCTAGCTGGGGAGGAGATGGCCAGCCCATGGTGGTCCTCCCCTGCTGCTGGGCTGGGGGAACGAAGTGGGTCCTGTGCAACCTCCCCCAGCTGTGTCCCCCTCCTAATTCAACGTCCAGCCCCTGCCCTGAGGCCAGCACGGGTCTGTGTCCTTGCTAGAGCAGCAGTGAGCTCTGGCTCTCCTGGGGACATGGGTTGTGCTGGACCTCTCAGGGCCCCCACAGAGGTGGCTGGCAGAGGGCTCAGTTCAGGGGGCCAGTGGGCATCAGGGCCATGAGTGTGGCTGAATCACATCATTCCTGAAAGCCCAGCATTTAAATGGGATCCTCAGAGACGTTTCTCATTCTCTGTAACGTAATCCACTTGGCTGTTTATTCCCAGTACAACTGCTGGAATCAACATTGTCAGCTTTTCCCCTGACAACTTGCTTACTTTCCACTAAACAAACTTCCCTTGAGAAGAGAAGCTGCTCTCCCTTGTCCTCCTTCTCTCACTGCTTCAAAAGCTCTCTGGCATTGCTGGCATTTTTTACAGAACCTGCAGAGCAGAGGTGCTACCTGGTTATCAGCTCAGCTCTTAGCCTTTCCAAGTGTGTTTACAGGATAGTTCGGAAGATTTTAACTCTAACTCTCCAGTGGGGAGAGACCAATTTCACTGGAATATTACCCAAAGAACTATTTTAATGTCCTTTAACTCCCTTTGAATGTGAGCAGAGCAACTTCATAATTGTTATGAAGTTTAATCTTTTATTTCATAGACATAGTCTGAGAACATGGACTCGAGACAGCTAAGCATAATATTTAACTGGAACTCTACTAACTTGTGTAAATATTTCCCTTCTCCGTGATGGATCTGGTGTTTGGGGTGGGCAGAGGGGGTTGTACATCTGTTGCAGAAGGGCATTCCTTACCTTCAAAATTCAATCAGCCGGAGTTTGCTTAAGGACTTCTTTTTTTTTCTGCACAGTGGTTTTGTACAGTGCTGTAGGGAGTCCCCAGGTCGTGAGGCAAGGTGCAGGAGCTAGCATCCAGACCTGGTTTAGGAAGCGGCAGTGAAGGACGGAGTTTGCAGGAATGGAGTATCAGGGGGATCCCTGAGAAGAGGGTTTCCTCCTGGATTTCTGTATCCAAGAGTCACTCGGCCCTCAGTACTCAGTGTCCAGCCTGGACTGGAGGAATATTCACCCCCACACCTCTGTGTAAGAGTGGCTCCTGCTCCTCCTGCAGCCCTTAATTGTACAAAAGAAATGTAAATGGAGTATCTTACCCAAAGTCCTGTGAGAATAAAGGTACTTTACAAGGGGTTAACTACTCTAGGAAAGCTTGGGAGTTGGAGTACCACCATGAGGCATCTTTATTCCCGTGCTATCACTACCACTACAGTGATTTGGATAAAAAGACCCCTTGCCTTCCTCCTCCTCCCAGATGACATAGCTACGTGAACAACTTGAAAGACTAGATCAGGCCTCCCACACTGCCTGCAAGTATGGGCAAGTGATACTGCCATCAGACCTCCATACAGTATCCTCTTGGCTTTAAGAATGAAAGCTCAGAGTGCACAGAGTGTGATTCTGCAGTCCCTGTGGCACCAGTGTGAATCAGGGGCTTTTTCAAATCTATTCACCAGTTGCACATGGTTCCCAGTGCGCTCCTTGTTTCAGTAATCAGGCAGGGTTGTGGTTTTGCACTGGGATTTAAGCCACTCCCAGCAGCAGGTACCTCCAAAGTAAGAGGGTGTCTTAGAATGAAATGTGTTTTTTTTGTGCTAAGACACAACTGAGACTGAGTGAAACCAGGCAGTCTTTCTGGCTTTCATTCCTCCAGGAACACATGTTAGACTCTGGCTTAGGCCATGTCGGTTTTTCTAGGCGAGTACAAGCTTTCCTCAGCTCCTGTCTGCAGGCTTTCTCTTGCATCTTGCATTTGCTTTCTGTATGTGATCTTTCTAAGCTTGCTGAGCCTGCCTCACTGAGATAAGTGATAGTCTTTGATCTGTGACAGTGCTGTTTAAATGCTGTATAACATTTTGAGGCTTATTAATCTCTGCTGCTTTCCCTTTGGTGCTCGGAGATAGATATCTCGTTTCACAGATCAGCATCACCGATGCTCTTGGGTGAGCCCTTGGTAGAGCAAGGGGAGAGTACACGGCATCATCTGCTCTCCTCTGCGAACCAGCTCGTTCAGCTCAGCCCATGGTGGGATAAGGGAGGAGAAGAAATCTTTCCC